GCTGGATGGCAGCACAGCCCTCCGGGGTGTCAGCCACCCCTCCCAGTTTGGTACCATCAGCAAACTTGCTGAGGATACACTCTGTGCCCTCGTCCAGGTCACTGATGAATATATTAAACAGCACGGGTCCAAGTATTGACCCCTGGGGAACTCCACTGGTTACAGGCTTCCAACTTGATGGAAGCCTGTCCCTAATGAGGGACACCCCCTCAGCCCTAGCCCTGGCCTTATCCCCAGCTGAAGCTGGGCTGACCTTTAGGTTACTCCAAACTGTAGCAGCAATGATTGATTCAGAGAGCACCACCTGCAAGCCACGTACAATGTCCACTCTGGCCAGTCTTTTCTCCTTTCCTTTTCCCCTCTAGGAGCTGCAGAGAGGGTGACAACCATACAGCATCGCTGTCGATGATCCAAGCAACCGGATGGGAAACAACAGGATGGGGAGGCAATCACAGTATTGGAACAGACACACTGTTTTGCCAACTGGAAGGGATATCTATTTGTCTCTTAGGCAACAAGTGTTACCCTTCCCCAAGTGCTAATTAAAGTGTTTACTCAGAAATGCCAACAGCCAAAAGAATCGTCACTAAATGAATACTCCCAATACAGTATCTAAACAAGACCTGTACAGCACCCTGCACGGGGCACAAATACACTCACTGTGGGATTCAGAGTTTTGTATCAGCCATTCAAACCTGAGAAGTGTTTGTATGGTAAATAACTTTTTTTTATTTTTTTAACCAAGAGCTACAGCTTTTCATTGCATTTTAATGGTTCATTTAGTTGTCTTGGGTTACTAAGGCTTAAGACTGAGAAGGGATTTAAGGAATCAATCTAGCTTCTACCCAGCAAGCACATACTTCTCACATCTGACAGAAAATAATATTTATCTTGCAATTATTTTCACGTTCAGTCGAGTGGATTTAAAAGGAAGAATGTTGTGCTCTCCTCTTCAGTTTTCTGCTGCTATAACGATGTCTAGCACAGATAGTAAATGCACTGCATGAATACATATTCATAATTTGTATTATTTACATATTATTTATATTATTACCTATTTATTAGCCCAACAAACAACACACAGCATCTATAGTATTTAGGTCACTTTGCTCGAGGGACCTGTTGTAACATGATGAATTATGGAAGCCCTCGATGAGTCATCTAATCTGTAGCTTTGTGGAGAAACAGCAAGAACAAGTAGGGTTGGATGTAATGAGTTAGGAATTCTTAGCTGGTTGGGGTTAAATTCCCAAATGTCTCTCTCTGCATTGGCATTATACAAGCAAGGCTGCATCGGCCAGGGGGTAGGACTCCGGCCCAGCTGCCACGCTGTGTTCTTCAAGACTGTAAGGCATTAAGAAACATCTGTCCAAGCAACTAGGTATTGTCTAGCTTTAAGCATGACAGTAAGTCCAGATGTTCTAAATCTCCTGCAAGACTTCCCATAAACACCTAGCCATGCTAATGATTATTTCTTCTTCTCGTTATCCCTGTAATTTCAAAAACAATTAGTTAGCTAGAATTCAGGCAATCAGTAACAATTTGTCCCTATTTTTAATCTCTTGTCCACAGAGGCATTAACCACAGCTGTGAGCTATCATTCAGAACCAGGTTTCACAGTAACAAGGAGACCTTTCAACCAATCTGGCCGTTCCTGGCGCAACTGCCAGTGCTCGGACACGGGCCCTATGGAGATATAGAGCCTGGAGACAGGCCTGGAAGAACACTTTCTACCGAGTAAAAGCATGAGAAAGAAAAAGACATGAAAGAAAAAATGCAAGATGGTCTATAATAAGGTCATTGTAGAAACAGGACAAAAGGGCTGTAACCCATCTACCAGGGAGCCTCTCAAAGAGCCACTATTTCTTGTTTCCTTTACCCAAAGCTGGAAATCCAGCTTCCCAAATGTTAGCAGAGCTCCCACTGGGATCTCCGCTTGCACGTGTATCCAGCAAAGCAATGCTCAGATGGCATTTAAGTGGTCAGATACTCTTGGCATGCAAGAATTTCCAACTGGGATCCATCTGCGAGCAGAAAATGTGATGGCGATTTCTTGGTTATTTTGCTGTCAGCACTTAGCAAATTTCAGAAGGGGGGAAAATCTCACTTTTGCTCAGGACTCTTGGATTCTGACAGTTGTAATTCACAGTGAGAACCATTTTTTCCCCCCATCACTAGATCTAGCAAGAATAGCTTCTAGTACATATGAAATTAAGTACTAGACAATGTGTGAATCGGCATAAAAACCTAGCTTTTAGTGTTCTTTTGCTTCCGTATCACAGGATCTACAACAGATTGTGATTTTCTTCTATTCTCTTTGGAGCCATCTCTTACCTTCCACAACAGACTCCTATGTAATTGTCAAGGTCTTTTCTCTGGGGAGAGCATACCAGGTAATTAGCGTGCCAACTGTTACCTTCAGATGCATCGGGGCATGTCAGGCTGAGATTCCTATTCCTCTTTGTAGTCCTCCAATGTAAATAAATACACACTTGTCTCATCTGTCTTCCTGAATATGTCTGTATGTTTCTCTCTGTCTTTGTGTATTAGCCTTACATATAAGGCATATCTTCCAGGGAAACCACTGTACTGTCAACTGCATGTCATGCAAGCTCTCAGCCCAAAGCCCATGAAAAACCCCTGCATTAAAGACTGTGGAAAAACAGTGTTACCTCTCCTACAGAGGCTTCTTACTTCAGTTCTTCTGCCCTGTCCTTTTCATTTCATCCACCCTTGACTCTGCTCATCCATCATGGCCTTGTACTATAAGCAGACTAAATACAGTTTGGAAAATATCCCCTTGGAGTCTTGCTTGCTTTCTGTTACTTTCAAGCTTATAGTGGAGCAGCCCTTTTACTCCCAGGAGCAGAATCCCTCCCCTCAGAAACCAGTCTAACTCTCCCCTAGCTCTGTGCAAACTCCTGTCAACTTTATTTTCTAGGGCTATGAGCCCCTCTCTCCATATTCCACCTGATCTCTCTGCTCCTGTTGACACTGTGTGTCCGCTCCCTACACAAGTGACCTTCCATCCCTTGAGCTTCTGCAGTCCTTGGTGAGCTTGGTTCTTCAGTCTCTCTAGTTTTCAGTGTCTCCACGGAGGTCCTTAACCTTGGTCTGAACATTGCTTTGGGTCCCTCCAAGGCTTTCCAGAGACAGTTACAATCTAGCAGGGGTTACAACAGCAAAGAGCACCAGGGCTTCAGTGCAAGCCAAAGAATCCCACAGCAAACACTTGTTCTGGTTACCAGTCTGCACTTAACCAGGGCTGTGGCCTGGTTAAGGCTGTAGTTACCCAGATCAGCTAGGTTGAAGAAAATTGCCTAAGGCAGAGCTGAGTGGTAGAAAGCATAATAAATGGATAAATTACCTACCAAGTTGTTAGACTAAGGCAGAGCTGAGTGGCAGAAAGCATCATAAATGGATAAATTACCTACCAAGTTGTTAAGTAGGTGCAAGGTAAGAGACATAGACTCTAACAGGGAGATAGCAGACAAAATAATGGTGAAAGGTCTTGCAGCACCTGCCGAGTGCTTTTCTTCCCTCCTCACCCTCCTCTCCCTTTCAGTCTCATCAGCTCTGAGTTACATCGCTCGCATTCACCGAATGCCACATCTGTGTGAGCGACACCCCGGAGAGCAGAGCTGCACTCTGCTGCAGGGAATTCCTCGTGCTCATCAGTGTGTGGCTCAATAAGCCTGTAGGGGGGCTGGTATTTTATATTATACACCCTAAGAATAAACATCTGCATTGAAACAGGTGGCTTGAAAGAAACAGAAGGTAGGAGAAGAAAAATGTTATTGAAAGGCTAAAGGATCTGTTCTGACAGAAAGACGTTCATCACGCTCAACTTTTGTCAGCTTCCAATTTGCTTTTCACGTGCTTTGCATAGCTGTGCTCACCTGTCCAAACACCTCCTCGTTCACTGTGAAGGTGAGATCCAGGATATCTGTGATGTTATTATCCTTCATCCACTGCAAGCTCTGATGGAACTCTTCATCCAGGTACTCCAAGTCGCTTAAATCACACGGCCTGATCGCGAGGCAAGAAAAAAAATGTAGCTGAATATACACCCCCCCGACTATTGGCAGGCTGACTTAGAACTAAGAAGGCGAACACATTTATGCTGAAGGATCCACCGTACAAACTGGTGTTGGTTTGGTTTTGTTACCATCCAGGCCTGTTACACAGACCCTCTCAAAGCAGCTCTGCAACTGTCTGCAGTGCAGGGCTGGGCTCAAGGCCAAGCCTGCCGGCTGCCTGCGCTCTTTGCTGTCGGAAGGAGCCACCCCCGGGGCTTGATTTTCTGTGAATCTTCTGGATGGCCTGCACTTGAGAAGCAGGTGCTTACCTTCAGTCCAGATGGGCCCTGCCATGCTGTGCCTGGCTGCTTCCGTGGAGCTCTCCTCCTCAAGGTGAGCACGCAAGACTGACAGAAGGCAGACCAGGCAGCCTACATTTCTGCTAATAAGGAGTCGGCCTTGCTCGCTGAAAGGGCAGGTGGATGTTATGAGCAGCTGGTTTCAGATCCCCTACAGGGGGCCATAAGGACACAGGGAGGACTCTAGGCTTCAGGCTGTGTCCAGACTAGCTCAGATACAGCACAGAATATGAGCACAGGGACCCCAGCGACACTCATTGTTAAAAAATTAAAATTAAATGTAGTTAAAGAACTTGAAGGACGGTTAAGACAAATAGCTTTGTGGATTTGGAATCATCCAAAGTGATAAAATATTTTAGCTAAACTTTATTCTGCTCTTTGTCATTTAATTGCAGTCTCGACTTTCTACTTATGGCTTTTCTTACGGCTACAAATTTTATGTACCTTGTCTTATTGCAGTCTATTAATTAAAGAGGGACAGACTGTCAATTAAAGTTAACCTTATAAACCTGACACTGAAAGTAATATATTACTGGTAGCTTCTGCTTACCAGTGTTAAAGACAGAAGACAACTAATAGGAAACAGTCACTGTTTGTATCTACATTAGCATTCCTAATTAATCCGAGCTGTGTTTAAAATGAAAACCTACTCTATCAGTGAGGCATGAGAAATTAGGTATTTTTCTTAATACGATCCCCCTCCTTTTTTTGTTGCTGTTTTGTTTTGTTCCATCGAAGATGCTTCGCGGACTTCTACATATCATTTTAATTGCTTTGATAACTTTTCATCAGTAGTAAACTCTGGAATTACGGGTCGGCACTTTTCTAAATGTCACACTTATTCTGCATTTTTTATCAACACAGTCAGTATTGATGAAGGGCAAATTTCTTGGAGAAAGTAAAGAAAAATGAAAACACATTTGTTTTCTGTCACAGACCAACCAACCAACCAAACAACAGTGGGAAGGACTTGAAGGTCAGAGAGCCTGGAGCATTTCCATGCGTCTGTGTCTCTAGAACTTGGGGCAGGATCCCTGTTTCTGGGTGGTTTCTGCACGGCTGCACGCTTATACTTACAGCCTTAGCAGTGCTTTGTAGAACGGCCGGGTGAAGAACGCGTCGAGGAGGTACTGATGAATGAGAGCAAGGCCAAGAATGCGACCACTGAACCTGAACCTGGGACAGAAGATGCAGAGTAAATGAATTACAACTCAAGCCATTCAACATAGAAACTTAGAGAGCAACTGTTCTTCGTTTCTGACTTAGTTTCTTGCATTTATTCATTTATTTCTTTTTTCCCGAGCAGATACCTAACACCATCCCTCCACCTCTGATCAATAATGGATCTCTTCTTGATCCATCTCCTGCAGCATCAGTATGTGCAGCTGGCACATTATACCCTCTCCTGGGCCAAACCAACAAACGCTCCCAAGACCCACCTTCTATGATCTTTAATTGAATGTTCTGATACAGACTGACTCCATCAAACACCATATTTAGCTGGTGAAATACTGTAATACTCCACCTCACCTTAGCAGAAAACATACTATCGAAACATTTTCAAAGCATGAATCAGTATATCCAGTTTCCAACTGGTTACGACACTTCCCAAGCTGGGGATTAGTACTTTAAAAGGGTAATGAGTTGACTTTACAGGCAGGAAACTGAAGTTCAAATAAGTTAACTGTTGTGACCAAGGACACATATTAAAATCAGTATCTAGAGCTCGGGCAAGCTGTCCCCAAACTGCTTTCTTAATGCTGATGCTCAGCTGTTTTCACTATTTACACACTCTTGTGTTTGCTTCTGTTTTCCAAGAACAACCTCCCCTAGTCCCGCTCCAAGTACGCTTAAAAGAGTGTCCTGTCCATTACAACCTATGACCCATGAGGATAAGTTGTTGAAGTTTTCTTTCTACAATTTCTTCTATGACTTACATTATTCCATTAAATCTGGTTTTACATCAGTAATCTCAGACAGAAAAACACAGAACAGGTGTGAGTTCAGGTGTGGTTTTTTTTTTTTTTGTAAAAACACCCCCATCACCCATCCAAAATTTACTTATTTGTAAAGAAGAAAAAGAAAAAAAATCCCAGATCCCAAATATGAGTGCTCCAAGTCTGAGCTGTTTGACATCATAGTAAAGTTTTATTTCACAAAAGATGAGAAACAGATCAAAAAAGCCAAGAAACCTTTTCTTTCCGCTGCCGGAACCAGTGCAAAGCCCCCTCCTGCATATGAATGAAACGTGAGCCTCATTGTAATAAAAGCAGCACAGAATACCCCTTCAGTCAACTTGATGCTCATGGGACAGAACAACAAGTGCTTAAGATGTCAAACGGGGCACAAAATAGCCCGCTGTGGGCCCAATTAGCATTTACATCACCACGGGAGCTGCCTCCGGGTCCCCTGCATGCAAGAAAGGTGCTTATGACCTGCAGCTGATGGTAACAGGAGAGTGATTATGTTACCCCCGTACAGCTGTTTCCACAGCAGCAACAACAGGCAGCTGTTGGGTCGGGTTAGGACCTGCTTCGCTTCACTTGTGCTTCAGTGCAACATTTCTAGTGAAAAGCACCGAAAAGAGGGGGAGCTGACACAATACAAGTACAGTGGAAGCCAGACAGCTCAAATCCCAGGAACACCGAGCCTGTAATCCATCAGTTTTACAGCACCTTCAGGATCTATAATCAACTCCGTTTGTCCTAAATAACGCATGGCGGCTTTTTTTTTTTTGGTTTTGTTCTTCATCACCCTCCCTTTCCCCCACCCATCCCCATACGTTTTGAAAGCGAACGCTGAATGAAAACACTACAAGCAAAGGGTGTTCCTCACCACGACGCTCGCCCCGTGGCTACTTGACTGTGCAGGGCTGGGCAGGCAGGAGCCACTTGGAGTAAAGTAAAGCCAGAAAGTAAATTGCCATGAAAAGTCTCAGGGATTTGGGAGCCCTCCTTCTGCTAAGAAACGGGATGAATGTGTGCACAGCGTGGGTTTTCTCCTTGCTGCTTGTATCACAGAACCACAGGATGATCTGGGGTTGGAAGGGACCTCTGGAGAGCATCTAGTCCAACCCCCTGCCAAAGCAGGGCCACCCAGAGCAGGTCGCACAGGAACGTGTCCAGGTGGGTTTGAATGTCTCCAGAGAAGGAGACTCCACCACCTCCCTGGGCAGCCTCTGCCAGGGCTCTGCCACCCTCAAAGTGAAGATGTTCCTCCTCATGTTTAGATGGAACTTCTTATGTTCATGTTTGTGCCCGTTACCTCTTGTCCCTGGGCACCACTGAAAAAAGACTGGCCCCATCCTCCTGACACCCACCCTTTCAGTATTTACAGGCGTTGATCAGATCCTCCCTCAGCCTTCTCTTCTCCAGACTAAAAAGACCCAAGTCCTTCAGATTTTTGGCTAAGACCAAGCCTAGTGTTCTGTACCTCTACAAGGCTTTGAGGGCGTGACTTCAAAGCTGCCATGAAACGGCAGTGCCCTGAGATCAAGGTGTTTACAATCACGAGTGCGTGTTACGGGAGCTGTTAATGGTGAGTTTAATTGGCATCAATGCCTTATGAACCGTATCAAACCATCCAAAGGCAGTGTTTCTGTGTGAAAGGACTACGTCTGGTGGGTCAGCCTAAGCAAATGTGGGGCAGAGCAGCTCTGTCTTGTGCAGTTCTTCAGTCTGGCTTTGCACTTGCAGCCCTCTGGGACACACCAGGGCTCACTCCCACTCTGGTTCCACAGTCCCAGCCCTTGCAACGGTACCGTGTAGGGAAACAAAGCCAGTACTAACTGGTCTGGATAAAGGAGGTGAAGTAATTAACCAGATGTTGCCACCTGGTGCCTGTCAATACAATGGATAAAAAAAAGCTACGTTGAGACTGTATTTCTTGGCAGCTCCACATCACCCCAGCAGACACTGTGCTTAGTGGCCAAAGCACGTGAGCTCTCCAGCCCACAAACTCTTCATCTTCTGCACACAGCTTTGGTTTCTCTGCAGACACTCATTATACCTGGCTCTCGGACCTCAGGAGTGGTGTAAGAGAAGGTCCTCTGGCCCCTTGTCCATTCTGGGACTATAGGTGACACCCCCGTGGTCCAGAAGTGCAGTGAGAAACAAGGGCTGTAGTAAGTCTACAGACACCTATTACTGCTCTCCACAACTACCTGAGAAGAGGTTGTAGAGAGTTGGGGGTCAGTCTCTTCTCCCAAATAACCAGCGATAGGACAAGAGGAAGTGGCCTGAAGTTGTGCCAGGGGAGGTTTAGACTGGATATCAGGAAAAATTTCTACACTGAGAGGGTTATCAAGCATTGGAACAGGTTGCCCAGGGAAGTGGTTGAGTCACCATCCTTGGAGGTATTTAAAAGACGTGTAGATGTGGTGCTGAGGGACACGGGTTAGTGATGGTTTTGTCAGAGTTAGATTGATGGTTGGACTCATGATCTGAAAGGTCCCTTCCACCCGAGACAACTCTCTGATTCTATGAAAAGGGCGGCACTTGGTACCCTCCTCAGAGGACAACTCACCAGTCTATCTGCCTGTGTGTCCATGCAGTCCATCAAGCTGCCACCACGATCAGCCATGCATAACAGCCCCACTTAAAATATATCAAAGCTTACAAAAAAAGCCAAGAGGAAAGATCCCCCTCCTTACAAAAGCCAGGTAAAACAAAACCAGACATTCGTGTTTATTTCTTCCTGAAGGATTTAGAGCCTGGGTGAGATTCAGAGACAGTCTCTTCAGAAAGAAAACAAGTTTTCTTGACAGAATAAGTAGCACAAAGGTAAATCCTGGCTGGAGGGCACATACCTTCTTTAAACCCGACTGACGTTTATCTTTCCAAGCAAGTGTAAAATGCTTGATCAATTTTTTTTCTAGCAGGAAAGATGGTTTGGGAGAGGTGGGGAATGCGAGGTTCTTGCTCTGGCCTTTCCTTTCAATCCCCTTCCCTTCGGGAGACGACGACTGAGCCTGAGTAACGCGCTCCAGCAGAGGGGGGAAACACAGGAGGGAGTTAATGAACGGGAAATGGTGGAACGAGAGACAGAATTAACGAGCAGGAGAGCTGCTCTGGTTTGCCTGCCTCTTGACACCGTTCCTCCACTCAAAAAAAAAAGGACATTGTGTGCACCTGCTTTCTGGCTTTTAACACCACCACTACGCGACCCGTTTGCCAGAAGTTTCCACACTCCCCACCTAACTCCCTTCTGGAGGCTGCAGGTGCCCCCGAAACAGCCTTGTTTTCACAACGGCCTGTTGCAAAATAACAGGCTTGTTCTCCTCAGCGGGACTCCCTGCATATTTACAGCAGGTCTGTGTGCACAGGGAGAGACAAATCCACACGCTGGAGCAGCGACTAAGCAATAAATTTTACCTCCAATTGCAGGTGAGTCACAGGAAGCTTAATTTACTCTGCTCCTTATCATACAGCAGCAGAGTTAGGCAGGACCCATAATGACCCTTTGTGACGGGGCTCTCTCTTAACTGGCTGAACTAAGGCAGCTCTGCTTTCTATGCCAGCCCTTCCTTGGGTTCAGCTGGAGAAGGATGCACCTCGACAGAATCGTAATCTCTGTGTGCAGGGGAAGAATGGTGTCCAGCCTTCTGCAGGGGATGCTTTGGTACCCACCCCTCCTGGGCTGCACCGCCTATTGTATGAGGAACCTTAAATCCTAAATCAAGGAAGCACCTGATGGGATTAAAAAGACTGAAAATCTTGCAAACCTTATCTCACTCCAACACGTCAGCTGGGTTTAAACGTGCCCTTCTTGCTGCAGTAGCTTGTGAAAAAAAATATTCAAAGGAGGGCTCAAGAGAGATGAATAGAATATGGTTCACAGCAAACTTGAAAATGTCGTTTTCCTTTCATGGGACTACTGAAAACTGGCTTTCACCTGTAAGACAAATTTACCCATTCTGTTGCACCAGTTTTAAAGCTTTTGATAGTTTAACTGTGCGGATGAACTTCTGGCTACCTGAAAGACAAGCTGAACAAATGAGGAGAGGATTTCTGCCCTTGGCAGCTCTTCTAAGGGAGAACAATCTTTGGCAGGTGGATGCAGCCTGGAGAGCCTGAAGAGATTGGACCTAATCTCAACCGTAATTAGATAAAAGAGAACCTAAAAAAGGGAAAGTGTTTAGAAGGGCCCAGTCACGGAAAAGGCTTCACTCTGAATGT